TTAGTTCTCTTTTCTCTCCATCGTTCTGGTACCCAGTTCCACAGGCTTTGCTTCAAACTTTTTCTCTGTGGGCTCCTTCTCATCACCAAGACCATTTTTGCTTGCGTCAGTCTCCTCTGCATCAACCCTTTTCTTGGGGGGCTTCTTCTTATCATCAAGACCATCGTGGCTCCCGTCAGTGTCATCGAAATTGGAATCCTCGGACTCCTTCTTTCCCTCCTCCTCTACCTTATCCTAATTGTCTTTTTCTTCCTCGTCATCAGCCCCTTCTTCCTTTTCTTGCAGTTTGGTGTAATAATGGGGGTGGATGAGCTGGAGGTATCGTTCAATGTTCTGGTGGAGGTCCTTATCCTGTGAATTGAACAAGGAATCATAGTGGAAGTGGGGGTAGATACGTGCTATACTGCATTTTTGCCTGTAGGTTAGCCTGCAGGAGTGGATGGTGTCAACGGAAATGAGAGCTACCTACAAGTCTATGGAGACTCCAGTTCAGATGAAGAAACAGTGGAATCCGAGGAATCAGATGAAGATTCTAAGGATGGGAACGCCCCAGGGCTAGTACCAAGGGCATCCAAACAGTATGCTCCAGACATTGCTTCCGATGAAGAAGGAGAAGAGGGATTCCAAGGAATCCCAACAATTACAAGTCCAGACAACCCAACAGTAGAAGAAGCGGCACCAGCAGTGGATACCAATGATGGAAACCTTGCTGGGCCAAGCTTCCTAGAGTTGGAATTCGGCACTCAGCTTGGATTGCCACAGCCGAAGCCAACAAGAAAGGAGTGACCTTCATACAAGATGATGAAACGAAGCAGCCACTACTTTATGAGACCGACACAAGCAAGCACTTGGCTTTATTCATGGACTCCTTGAATCACAGGAGTGCCACGGCATCAGTCAAGGATGAGAGCAGCCATACCCAACAACACCTACTAACGACCCTAGGGGGAGCCACTGACGATTATGGATTTTGTTAATAAAATCATTTTATTGATAACCAAGGGTTAGAGATAAAGAAAGAGGAGGAAATCTGCATAAAAGACGTACCTAGCTAGCTAGCTAGTAGCGAGATACTAGTAGAGTAGCATGTTGTGTAGACAAAGCACAATGGTACTATTTTACTATAGATTTGTATGATGGTTTGCATAAACGGTACCAAATTCCTTTTCACAGGTCTATGCAGCATTGGCTCATCTATGAATTCCAGTTAGGAACTCAGCTGGTAGGTGCACAAGAGCTGGGAGGGAGAACTCTGCTTGGAGGTCTCACTCCTCTGGCACTTGGGAATGGGCCAGCCACAAAGCTGGCTGCCACTGTTATTCAATCTCCACAGCAATGATTGAACAACTTACTCTTTGCCTTGGCACAATCCACACAGGAAGGCTTCGACTGTGGGGAAACTAGTGCTACTGAGGCTGTATCTGGTCAACTATCCTTTCATTACTTTTTCTTCTTTAAACTATGCTAAAATCAACTGAACACAAATCCTCGGCAGCACTCAGCCATGCAGCTTTGGCTCTCTCATTTGGCTGGTGCTGGCAAGCTAATTTTCTATATTGGTCTTGGCTGAAGAACTGCATCATCCTTGGGTATATAGAGTTCCTCAGCTATTTCTGTATTGCCAGATGGCTGCACTGCTGACCTTACGGTTGGAGTATACAGATGTCACAGCGATTCTTCCACCTGGCTAAACCAGCACAGCTGCTTCGCACCACAATGGGAGTTCACGTGGATTCCCACTCATCGCTCCCCACCATGTGATGTGTCCATGGTGGTGTCTAGGAGATCAGCTGTGTCTCCTTGCCAGAACAGAACTGCCTTCAGAATGGGCCATATCTGGGAGTAACCCCAGTGTTTCGTCAGGATATCTGCGGGGTTGATCGCTCCCGGTAGATGATGAAACGAGATGGTCCCTGCAGCAATGGCTTCTCTGACGAAGTGGTAGGAAAGGGCGTGATGTCTCTTCTTAAGGGGCGAATGGGGCTGGGTGGAACTTGTCACCACAGACCCATTGTCACCAAACATGTATGTTGGCCCCTTTACCTCCACACCAAGGTACCTGAGTGTAACTCTGGCTGCAATGGCCTGTTGGGTGGCAACCCTGGCAGCAACGAACTCAGAGCCGTATGTGGCTGCTTCCACAGTAGCTTGCTTCTTGCAGTACCATTCGAATGGGGTCTGGTTCACATAGTGCAGTACACCAGTGACTGCCTTGCCATTGACCCAATCGTGGTATAGGTTTGCATCCACATAGGTCGTCAACACTACCGGCTTGCCCTTCGGCTGTGGGGCATCTACTGGGAGTTCCTCCTGTGCCTCCCCATAGACCGTCCTTGTCCAGTCGTAGGTTCGGTATTCCAGTTGGGAGTAGTCTGGCTCGTTGGTGCGGATCCTGATTCCTGCCTGGTTCATCTTGACCAAGAATCCAGTGATCCTCTTGAGTCTTTCCAGATGCCCCACCCTGGGTGCCACCCTGAAGGACGACATTGACATTACAGAGACTGCAATATCAAATCTCCCAAGTGAAATTGCCCATTGCAAAGCTCCAATCAGGGACTGGTATTTTGAGATCCCATCATCATCCAGGAGAGGAGAGGTATCAAGCTCTGGGTGGTCGTTCTTCTCCACTGGACTGGTGACCTTAGTGGATGGATTCTCCCCAAACAAGGATACGTACTGGGCCTTGACACGTTCAATGTACTTTCTTGGTGTCATGGACAGGATTCCGTCGCTATCCCTTTCAAAGTCACATCCCAGATGGAAGGTAACAGGTCCAGTTCCTTTGAGTTTGAACTTGTGTGGTGGAGCCTGCAGCAGATCGATGATGACTTGAGGTTGCTTGGAAGCTATCAATAGGTCGTCAACATAGCAACCGATGTACTCATAGTGATCGCCACAATCACGCATCCAGATATCTGGCTCAGCCTTAGAGGGCTTGAAGCCAAATCCGTGAAGCACATCGTACAGTCTATCATGCCAACACTTGCCTGATGACTTGAGGCCATATTGGGCCTTGATCATCTTCATCGTATGCCCAGCCATGTCTCCAAACTCCCCACCAGCAATAAAACACACCTTCTCAGTCGTGTAGCTTTCCAGGTATGCATTGCCAATGTCCGTTGCCCAGAGTTCAAGCCCATTCAACTCAGCCAAGAAACTAACCAGACGGATGCCCTGTAAGGACACAACACCTGAGTAGGTTGGGTCTACTGGTGTCTCTGTCCTGTGGCCTCCTGCCACAAACCTTGCCTTGTGCCGCCCGTCATGTTTGACGGCATAGACCATATGACATGGTATCTTCTGGTAGCCTGTTGGGACTGGGGTACCCTTTCCCAGTGACTCGAAGGTGTCGTATTCCATCAATTGGGCAATCTCCAGTCTCTCTGCATCCTGCCACTTGCTGTTGCCATTCTTCTCGTCGATGAAAACAGCTTCAGCGTGGTTTCTTGGGACCTGGAAACCGTATTGATAAATGGGCTTGGTGCGGAAGCTTTTCAACTTTGCTTGATGTACCATACGTGCGAACACCTTGGAGTTCTTGGTATAGGGTTTGCATCGCTTCCATCCATCGACCTTGAGCAGGCCATTCTTTGATGCGTAGATGGAAATTGACACAGGGTCATCATTGAAGATGCTCCCCATATCCTCCCAAGAAGTCTCCCCACTGGCCCATTGAATCAGCACCTCGTACTTGGACTTAGTTCGGGAGGGACGATGTCGGATGACAGCCTCGATCCGGTACATGTCATCCTTGTCCAGGTCCCTTTCACACCATTCCAGCATCTTTGAGTATGCCAAAACTTCCTCAAAGTACTCGTCCCCATGTTTGCACTTGAACCTGTATACAGCTGCTGATCCGTCTGCGTTGGTTTCTCCTGTGGCCTCGGCAGACACAATCTTGGCTCTATGCTGCTCGCCTTCCTCGTTGGGGTGGGTGATAAAGGTCCTGTTAAGAAGGTTGGTGATGTCAATGACTGGCAGGTTGCCACCGTCTAGGACATCCCTGTGTTCAAGGTTGGATAGGATATATTCTTGCGTATGGAGTTGTGAAACTCCCCATTCTCCTCCGTCTCCTCTATCTCGATGCCTTTCTCAATCACTTCAGTCTCCAGAGCGGCCCCGACTACAAGGTCAGCTTCGCTTGTGGAGGCCTTCTGTCCTGAGATTGGCTTTGGCTTGGGGGCCAGCTTCGGGGCTAGTCCATCAGCCTTCCAGTTGCTGAGTTCAGCTCCCTTCCTTGCCGTCCTGGCCACCGCCCTGCATATGACCTTGCCTGACTCCGTCAATATCTTGTAAGTCATCCCATGACCCACGTCCTCCGCTACACCGACAAACCGACCCACCGCCTCAACAGAATCTTCTGGAAATGAACCACCGTACTTCTGGTAATATACAGGTTCGTAGAACTCAAACTGAATAAGGGCTGAGATATCCGGTGTGAAACCAAACAGCCACTCAAAAGGTGTACGCCAACCAAGGCACTCCAGGGCGATGTGGTTCTGTAGGGCGGATGTGAACTGTCCACACAAGAGCCAGCACTCAGAGGGGACATCCCGGGTGTCCAGTACCATTTGGATCTTTGCTTTCGTATCCCTCCAGCCCAACTCAGCGAAGTTTTGGTTGCCCTTGTAGGCCTCAGAGTGCCAGTCGTCGATGCAAAAGGTCCTGTAGATATCCTTGACCCTCTGATTGCACTGGGCCTTAGCATTGTCGGACCGTATCCTGTTCATGGCACCAAGCTTTCTGATCTCATCCATCAGATTCCTGATATAACTGGCATCAGAGTTTCCAGCGGGGCGAAGTGTCCTGTAGTGGGAGGTCCTGCCAATGAAAAGTTGGGCTGCAGTGGACCCATCATCAATAGCTGGCGTGCTGCTATAGATTGTATCCGTGGCTACGTCTTCGTGTTGTCTTGGGATACATAATCAGCAAACACCGGAAGGGTTAGTTCCCGTCCTGCACGGAAATATCATTTTTTTTTTTTCAAGACAACCAAGGGCATGGTGATAGTCAAGGAACAATTCCATGATTGTGACTGCTTCCATATTCTACATGCATTGATCAAGGAAGCCCACACCTCTGTGGAAGGTACACTGGAGCCTGTGGAGACCCTCAACTGGCTCACCAGGGTCAAGTACCCCACAACCAAGGGTTCTGAAGTGGAGTTCATCATCCAATACGATGAGGTTCTCACACGGTACAATGACGCCAAGACCAACGCGCAGGTTAAACTCAGTGATAGTATCAAAAAACTATTCCTGCAGCAGGCGTTCATTGACATCAAGGTTCTCAATAACGTCAGCGCCAGAGAGAACTACGGAGCGTACAACAGTAACATGTGCACGTTTTAACGGTGACCCCACATATGCCCAACTCGCCACCAGATCGGTCTTATTCATATGAGAAATACAATGAGGTCCTGACCAACGCTTCTACCAGGTTTGATGTCAATCACAAGCTTCTAGTACCCACCGGCAGATCCTGCAGGGCCAACATGGCTGTGATCGACGCGTCTGAGGTTGAAGTCGAGCAACCTGATGGCATGGATAGCCAACCAGATGACCCCACTCATTTCCAAGCGTTTGCGGCCATGAGGGACCCCTCTGTCCGGCCCCCAGACCAACATTGGACCCAACTTTCCAATACGGGCAAGAAGAAGTGGCGCTACTCGTTTCCCATTGTACCCTTACACATGCTACCCACGGACTAAGAAAAGTACTGATGTGGGACATCCCAGCCGCCAAACAGGCCCCGCCAGATGTCCCGCCAACAAGAACGACAAAAGCCAAGCCACAGCGTCGATGCCAACAGCACAATGGACTCCAACAGTGAAGCTGACCGTGCAGTCGGGGGATCGCCATACACCCCCTATCAACTTGCCTCTTTACTTACTCGGCACGGCTCCCTAAAGTCACCCACGGCAGACACCTTACAGATACGACACCTTCAGTTTGCAAACCTACGGCTTCCCTATCACATTCGGCACCCCATGCGAAGGCAAATGACAAACACCCTGGGGGTGTCCGTCGAATGATGTCAAAAAACACAGGCAAACGACAGTGTTACACCGTCTCGTTCAACCCTGATACTGGTTCTGCATCACCATCTGCCTTTGCCAAAGCCACGGGTGATGACATCGAAACTAAGTTACAGGCCTACTGTTCCTCTAGTCAGATGCCTGTACGTCGGCCTGAACCTGAGCCGGAGCCGGATTTTTGAAGGGGCGATCTGTTTATGTGCTGAACAGGTCCAGCCCCAGGAAACCAGGCACCACCCATGCTCGCGGGGTAGCATGCCACCTATCTTCGGCGATCTGTTTATGTGCTGAACAGGTCCAGCCCCAGGAAACCAGGCACCACCCATGCTCGCGGAGTAGCATACCACCTATCTTCGGAGGGGCTACCTTCCGCGGCAATTGCAAGGAACGACCAGTTACTGTGCTGGACAGGTCGTCTCCAGGGCATTCCAGCACGCCCGGTTCTGTGATCTACACCGTTTCCAAACATTCCTGGTCCACGCTCATGTGGCGAGCCCTCATGGACCGAGGAGCCAACGGCTGCATCCTTGGCAAGGATGTCAGGGTTATTCACCGCTACGGTCAATTCATTGATCTCAGTGGCATTGATGACCATACAGTTCAGAGACCTCCAGCTTGCCACGGCAGCTGCTTACATCCTCACAGACCATGGTCTCATCATTGGTCTGATACACCAGGGTGCTGCCATGTCCCATGGGAAAACCATTCTCTCTCCAGGTCAGTTGGAGCATTTCGGGTGCCGTGTCCATGACAAGGCCCTGACTGTCACCGGGCTCGACCCCTACTTTGTGACCCCAATGGTTTCAGGGTGCCATGGCCATCCAGTCCGGGCTACCCTATGTCCAACTCGGCCACCTAATGACCAGGAGCTCAGTGACAGTAGTATCCCCCATGTGGACCTCACCAGTCCTCATGCCTGGGATCCCTCCTGTCTTGACTCTGTCCCTGCGGATGAATGGTTCCTTCAGCAGGACAAACCCTCTACGATGATGGGGAGTTCCCACTGGACCCCTTGGGCGACTTAGAGTTTGATGACGACTTCTGACCACTCTGACCGACAGAACCAGTCCATTGATCGTTCGTGGCATTATGGAAGCCATGGCACACATCATCTCTGACGAGATTGACCTTCCCCCCCTCATGGAACGAGCATCCCACGGTTATGACTCAGACTCCTCGGATGACAGTGATGGTTATGCTTCTGATCCTGATACTCCATGGCAATGCCATGTCACAAACCCGGGCCCAACGCCGGCGCCGGCACTAAACGCCCACCCCTTTGGCAGCCCCTTTGTCATCAGGTGCTGGGGAGGATTGTTCAGGACCACCTTCAACACAAGCTAAGCCAAAGGTTGAGACTGTATCGGATGACGAGGACACGGAACACTTCGGTCCAACAACAAGGCCAAACACCACACCGGTCTTTAGTTCCCACCCAAGTCCAAGAAGATCAAGACTCAGAGCACAGCCAAACTCAGGAGGTTCTTCCCAGGATTACCGATGAGACTATCAAGCGAACTCTCGATGCTACCACTCAGTATGGAACCAAGGGCGCCACTCAGGGAAGGACACTTAGAGGTCAGAATCGTGTCTCCCAACCCCATCCTGAA